CTCAAAAGGTCCACTTTATTATTTGAACTCGACCCGTGGACTTACAGTATATTATTTTAACGAACATGCATCACTGTCTTGGTCATCCGTCCATCAAAATTCTTCATAGTCTTGTAACTGATATGTCTTTACCTTCTCAAAATCTAGTTTTAGTTATTGCAATTCTTGTCTTTGTAATACAAGCCATAGACTTCTATTTGGCTCATCTTCTGTTACTTTCAATAAACCTCTTGAAATTTTTTACAGATGTCTGGGGTCCTACACCTCTTTCAGCCTTTAATCATTTTTGTTACTACATTGTGTTTGTAGATTATTACACTAAATATTCATGGCTCTATCTTATGAAATAAAAATCTGACATCTCTGTTATCTTTGACAAATTCAAAGCTGTAGTTGAAAAGTTCTCCAACACTAATATCCTTACTATGTACTCAGACGGCAGAGGGGAATATCTCAGCCTACGTTCAAATCTCACCAAACATTGAATTCAACACCTCAAATCACCACCATATACCCCTTAACTTGTGGGCATTGCTGAGGGTTGTCACCGTCACATAGTTGAAATTGGGTTAACAGTCCTCCACCATGCTTCCCTACCTCTCACCTACTAGTCGGTTGCATTTCAAACCACAACCTACCTTATTAATCGACTTTCTACTCCCATGTTACGTAACCAATCACCTTTTAAAAAATTGTTCCAAAAGCCTCCTAACTATCACAAACTCCGAGTATTTGGTTGTTTGTGTTATCCGTGGTTGCGCCCCTAACACCAATAAACTTCAACCTCATTCTCGTCCTTATGTCTTCATCGGATAATCCACTGAACATAATGCTTAAAGATGTCTTGATCCACACTCCAATTGAATCTTTATCTCTCATCATGTTTTCTTCGTCGAACACTCATTTTCCTTTCGCGACAACCCTATATCCTCTCATATTCCTCACCGTGACTCTATCACTCAATGGGCCATCATTGACTCTCCCTCACCTCCTCCATCGGCTCCTCTTGCTTATGTACCCAACTCAGTTTCACTATCACCCACTTCAATATGTCCATCCACCTTTCAGGCCACTCATACCAATACTTCTTCTCACCATATGATCACCCGCTCTAAAAATCACATTATAAAACCCAACCCGAAATCTAACCTACACACACTTTTCCCTCTAGATAATACCGAACCTACCTCCTTTACCATAGCCCAAAAATCCCCACACTAGCGCCAAGATATGAGTGATAAGTTTGATGCTCTTGTCCGTAATAACACATAGACTCTCGTCCCACCCCATCCCTCACAAAACACTTGGTTGTAAATGAATTTACAAGATCAAACGGAATCCGGATGGAACCATTTCTCGCTGCAAAGCACGTCTCGTGGCCAAAGGTTTTTACCAATGTCTCGGAATTGATTTCCATGATACCTTCAGTCCGGTTGTGAAACCAACAACCATTCGTAATGTTCTTACCATTTCAATCATACGAAATTGGCCAATTCGACAACTCAACATCAATAATGCCTTCCTTCAAGGTACATTTACTGATGATGTCTATATTCAACAACCTCATAGGTTTATTGATGGTCAACGACCCAAGGATGTATGCAAGCTCAACAAAGCATTATATGGTCTCCGCCAAACACCATGTGCTTAGTTTCATAAGCATTATATGGTCTCCGCCAAAGACCATGTGTTTAGTTTCAACAAAGCATTATATGGTCTCCACCAAACACCATGTGCTTAGCCATTGTACCTTTTGAGATTAGAATAATGATGTTTATCTAGACTCATGAGTCTATATGATAATTAATGGACATGTCATCTTAAATTCATGATTGTGGATCCCATTAATTGGTATATCAATGATCTTCCGTTTGACAACCATTATTTTCGAACTTTTTTTTTCTATATATTCATTTTCAGCCACGTATTCACAAAATATTTTACACGTAAATTTAAATTTTTTTCCTACCATTCTCCTAAAAATCACTATTCAAAACTTGATTTTTTCAATTTAATGGTTGTCAAACATGGGCTGAATGTAACTTAAATGTCACCCAGACTCATGATAATCATGAATCTCAATAGATGACATAACTTTTCTGATTATTGTGTGATACTATCATATTTGACTATAAGGCTACTTATTGACATATATTCACTAAGGTACCGTTTGATAACTTCCATTTTCCTAGAAAGTTGGTGTTTGATGGACACAAATTTCCGACCCAATTGTTTTCCCTCCCCACCCCCACGCGCGCATAATTCCATGCAAATGATGAATTTGCTTTCCCACCTTTTTGGTGGGAAAGTGAATTCCAGGTTTTATTTTTATTTTTATTTTTTTTTGACAATGGAAACAAAATAAATTCATGATTGTGGATCCCATTTAATTGGTATATCAATGATCTTCCATTTGACAACCATTATTTTCAAACTTTTTTTTTCTATATACTCATTTTTAGCCACGTATTCACAAAATATTTTACACGTAAGTTTAAATTTTTTTCCTATCATTCTCCTAAAAATCACTATTCAAAACTTGATTTTTTTCAATTTAATGGTTGTCAAATACGGGTTGAATGTAATTTAAATGTCACCCAGACTCATGATAATCATGAATCTCAATAGATGACATAACTTTTCTGATTATTGTGTGATACTATCATATTTGACTATAAGGCTACTTATTGACATATATTCACTAAGGTACAGTTTGATAACTTTCATTTTCCTAGAAAGTTGGTGTTTGATGGACACAAATTTCCCACCCAATTGTTTTCCCTCCCCACCCCCACGCGCGCATAATTCCATGCAAATGATGAATTTGCTTTCCCACCTTTTTGGTGAGTGAATTCCAAGTTTGACATTTTTTTTTATTTTTTTGACAATGGAAACAAATGTCATAACCAATTGTAAAAAAAAAAATCACTTTAATGGACAATTTTCATATAAAATAAAGTCAAACGAACACTAAATTTTGATTAAAAAATGATTTTTTTAGGAAAAAAATTTTTTTTTTAAAAACTTTTTGGCAATGAAAAAGAATTTTATAACCAATTGTGGAAAAAATTATCACTTTAATAGACAATTTTCATGTAAAACAAATCCAAACGGACATAAAATTTTAAAATTTTTCGGGTAGAAAATTATACCAATCAAACACACTTAATTAACAATTCTCTACAAAATAATTTCTAGACAATTACTTTTTCTGAAATTCATTTTATTTCCACCAATTTTCCAACATTTCAATCAAACGGACTCTAAGTAGTTATAGACTTTTTAGTAAGTCTAACCGTTTAGTAGTTAAGAGGGCAGCTACTCACAAGTTGAAAGTAAGTTTGTACAAATATACATACACACATGTACATATAATATTTATAGACTCGCAAGTACATGTTACAACTTGATTGGTAGAGCTAATGAGTAGGCCAATCTTCCATTTTAACATCATTAACAATCACGAGACACAAGTCGCTTTTTCATTGGGTGATTGAAGAACAATGGGTACAAGCCATGTAAAAGTATTGTCACTATCTTGAACTAATAACATCCTCAGACCTCCTTTTATGTGAAGAATTTCCAGAGTGATGCTATGTCGAAAAGGTAAAGCAAAAAAATGCTATTCTTTTAAGTTGGTGGGACAAAAAAGAAGTCAAATAGATTATTGAACTTGAAAACAAAAAATCAAACAAATGTAATACCAATTTCAGCCTAAAGTAACACTGTGAAAACAGACCTAGAATTTCCATGGGCCTATTATTAGATCACTGAAATAAAAGGAATGGGCTTTCATCGAGGGACTAACCCAAATTCAATGAGGAATATTCTCTATAGATGAAAATGTTTGGTATGTACTTGTAAACAATAAAAGATCTTAGTATCCACCAAGAAGTTCAGCAATCCAAAAAGGTCCCCGGAGGGAGGGAAAGACATAAATCCCACATATTCACAATCGGTGGTTAAGGTTATTGTCGACAAACCTCGATAGATATTTATATGATCGATTCTTTAAATGTATTCATCTTGAGCCTTAGTCAATGTAATTAGAATTTTATTTAACCAAGAACAAGAAATGTCGACACCCGACCATCACCCCCAATTCATGAGGGCTCTTAGTCCAACAACAGCAATAACGGTAACATGGAATTCAATATTAGTTCCTTCTAAATGTATAATGTATTATTGTATAAGATAGAACAATAATTGAATGAGATTTTAACACTATTCTCTCAATATTGTTAAATACTATAATGTCTAGCTTTATACTACTTGTAATGCAAAAGTGCGTAAATTGCAAATGCTTTTATGCAATATGTCACTTATATTAGGTCAATGGACAAGAAGAACGTTACGTAGTCTAACATAAACCGTTTACTATGTGACACTACGAAGGAACCAACTTATATAATATAAACAAATTTAATTTCTAATCTTCGATCATACTTATTTTACAATCTATTAAAGTTTTTGAGATTTGAGAAGTGGAAAGATTGCAACATTGCTGCTCGGTTCATCACTCCCATGTTTGTTTCTTTTGCGCAAGTAAATTGGCTAATTATTTCCGTTGATACAACAAAAACAAAGAAATCGAAATTTAAGTTTTATTGCACTAAGTGTAAAAAATTGACGTCA